GCATAGGAAAGCCATGAAAAGGCTGTTGTCCAAATAAGAACTGGAATTTGTGTACTCCGACATGGGTGGCAGCTTTGGCTTTTGGCAGTGATTTTCAATAGATCTCAATCGCCTGCCGAAAGTCTTGTTGGTGATTTGTCACCCACTGCCATGTTTTCACTTAGATCCTGAATGCACCTTGAGACGAGGATTCCTGGATCACTCCCTCCAAACTTGCTTAGGCAGACTTGCTGACTTGCCCCCCCTTTTTTGTTCCTCGTGAAATCTCTTGTGCTTGGACACACCCGCCTTCTCGCCTTCCGCAGCGAGGGCAAGGATCGGCCATTGGATCCTCGGGCGCGGCAGGAGCGAGCAGCCGAAGCGAGCTGTGCACGCAGTGATGTGTCAAGCATAAGTGGGGCAAGCCAAACAGAATCTGGGTGTTTAATACATACAAAATCCTTATTATACTTTATGATATAGATTTGGATGACATCTAAGACCCAGGAACACACAGATGCGGCTTGCTGTGTTTGGCTTAGTCCCTGGCCCCTGGTTTCTTGCTTTTAAGGATGATGTTGCATGGCATTTTGGGTTGCAGGTTAAGTCTTTCTTCAGTTGACGCGGATTCAGGGACCCTACTTTTCCCAGTCCTTGTCATCCGCTTTGGTTTTCTATGTCTTTGTGCCAGTCGTTTGCAAGGCATGGGCTGGTTTCTCAATGGTTCTCATGCATGCTGCATACAGTCGTTCAAGACGTTTCCTTCGTCATGATAGGTTCACCGTTTGGTCGATCGATTGCGTTCAGTATCTCCCGGTAGGAGGCGACCGAGCCGCAGAAGAAGCGGGTGTGGGTTCCTGCGATGGATGCCTGGGGTGTCCGGTTTGGCCGTGAGCCTTCCCCAGTTTGTATTGGTCAATCAGTCAATCAGTCAGATATCGGAGCCCATGGAAAATAAAAAGGTGACAGATCCAACAAGTAATCAATGGACATCCTTTGCCTGGCACGATCTTCACAATTACAATGGCGCATCCACATGGGAAGCTGGCGAAGACTGGCGCTTGTCCCCGACATTGGTTTTTGCACAAGGTCTCCCTGGCTAAGACTGTTCTCCCCAATGCCTTCCATTTTAACGCTCTGTGTTTGTGTGCGAGTTTTCCGTAGCTTTCCTTTGAGGGGGGGGTAATCGATTTGAACTGCAGACATGCCTGCAGTTTCTCAACCAGCATTAAGCTGAGACACTCGAAACGGCCTGCCCCAAGAGTTTCCATACATCCTGCAGACGACCACATGAACATCCACAAACCACAGCTTTGCGAATCCCATAGCAGCTTCGTCATGGTTCGTCCATCACTTCAGGGTTGAAGAACCAGGGTGATCGTGGGGCATGTTTGATGAGGTCAAAGCTGAAGCTGATGCTGAAGTCACGACCATCCTCAGTGATGATGAGGCGACCGCAGGGTGGGCCCACCAACCACCACGTAGACATGTTAGGACGGACCAAGGATCCTAAAGGCTTCCCCAAGAAATACCCCCCTCAATCAAAGTTGAAACGTTTTCGTAGTGGAGGGACCAGCATGACAGACAGCCAAGCATTGTTGGAGACCAGCAGGTGTCAAGAGCTTTAGGACCAACCACCTAGGGGCAGCTGCTCCTCGGAACCTGCAAAGCCGCAAAGCCCTTGCTAGTCAACCTGAAAATCATGCAGAACCACGTCACACAACTCCGCCTTCTGAATCTCAGCTTATCCAAGTGGCAACTTGCTCAGGTGGAAGTTGAAGATGATGAGATGCCTTTGGTCCCAACCAGGCACTTCTTGCAGGGCATGCCGTCCATTGGCTTCTCTGAGGTGGGGCCACGAGTCGCCACAGCGGTGTTGAGCATGCAAGGTCGGTGAAAGCAGGTTTCATCAGACACCTCAGTGTGGCAGAACTAATCTATCAAAGGACTTGAACACAGATACCCTTCTCCGACACGACACTTGTCCGGCCTTGTCCTTGAATTCTGGCCCTTCGTTGCCGCCAGACCTGGCTGCGGCAGTTCATGTCGCAGATCCCACGGAGACGCTCGAAGGACACGCCGACCACGGTCGCTCGGGTCTGGGGACCTGAACCACATCGACCGAACGGAACCAGTAGACAGGTCGATGTAGCAGTAAACACGTTGTTTTTTGTTTCTGTCATTGTATGGCAACAGATCTTTGAGCTGGCTCGCATGCAATGGCTCTTGACACATAAGTCTTTCCCTGGAAGATCAGACTGATCTTTCTTGGCGGGAAGGGACCGGAGACCGACCATGGGATGCGCGCTCAGGTGGGACGAAAAGTCTTGGGCGCCAGTGGGGAGCAACTGGTCTACGTGGATGCCATTTCTCCAGGTCCGAGTCTGTGCATGCAGATTATTCTTTTGTGATTTTTTTGTGAAATTCCATGATTCGTCCCGTGGATCTCGACTTCCAAACGACGACCAGTGACCAGGTGAAATGCTGCTGCTCATGCAGTTTGTTTTCATGCTGGAGGAGCTGCGAAAGAAAGCAATGGAGTTTGCGGCTCCAAGTGACAAAAGCATACAAATTCTGTTTGGAAGCAATGAACACGTGTGTCGTCAAATGAAGCGTGGTTCAACCCTTGCCACTAAGATCTGCAAAACTTACGTGTGTGTGTGTGTGGTTTTACATGTTTAAGTGGTTGAACGGTTAAATCACAAAACATGTTGAAGACCACCTTGGATTCGTGTCATCCTTCGTTTTGGTCGGGTTGTGGATCGAAGAAGCGTTCAGGAGAAGCTGCGTTCCACAGGGCGATCGGTGGATTTGGCACAGCGGGTGTCGCACACCTTTAGCTTCCTCCAAGTGGATTTAGCAGTGGATGTGCCGAGTCTGCAAATGATACAACTATTGAAGTGGATGCCGTAGCCTTTTTGCCAGTGTAAATCACAATTGGTGGAAATGCATTTACAGAAATTGGATTCAGTCTGGTGGTGTTTGACCACGAAGCCTGCTCACTTGCCCAGAAGACGTGAAAGTTACAAACGCCATTCTTGAACAGCTGCTGTTAATCTGTTTGATCCTGAGAGAAACAGATGAGGCATTGTGGACTTTCTGTCACTTCTGATTTTGCACACCAAGGTGATGCTGAAGTGGGTCTTCGACGGCTTACCTTTCCAGTGTGACACCACAGGCTCAGAAGCGCCAATTGGCATGGATGTTCTTTTTCACTGCAAGCAGGTAGGATGGCTGGGAGCTCGGTGTTCCATCAGGAATATCGATCTGAGAGCCTTTGGATGCCTTTGGTGTGTATCAAAACTGCCCTGAAAACGCGTGATGTAGAAGACTATTGTATCAAAATGTATCAAAGTATGTCAAAACTCTATAAAACTCTTGTATAAATGTGCTGAAGCCTATTTGGGGTCTGAAGGATCACGGCTTCGACCCCACGGACCGCCATGAGGGCTCCGCTTCTCCACGCGAGAGAAGCTGCGGCGGCACCATGAGGGTCTGAAGCGGCGAAAAGAGCAGAGGCGCTGACGTGCCGAGCAGCGCCGAGCAGAGATATGGTGCAGAAGGGGGTTACTAGAGATATGGTTTTATCATGTAACATCACGATATGGTCTCTAGTCAAAAGATCACTCGTTACATGTCCTGTATGTTGTGGGGATTTAAACATGCAGACTCAGATGGGTGTGGTCAAAATAGTCACGAAGCCACACATCAGCTCCGACCTTTGAAGCATCTTACTAGCGCCATGTGGCACTTCCATGTTCAAGTGAAAGTAGCTATTATTGTATTTTGGCATCTAGTATTGACACCACCATTGAAAGCAAGATGGCTTGATCACACAGTTGCTCGTCCGATCTCATCCGCTTAAAAGGCCGTGAAAGCAGCCAGGCAGATGAACGCGGAAGCTCGCGGTTGGATCGATCCGATCCCCGATTGGGTCGGGAACAGATGCTCGGCATCGATTGAGCCATTATGCGGTGATGCATCATGGGTCCAATCTTTCTCAGAGGAGAGTCTTTTGTGGATTTGGCCTACCATCCACAGATGAGATGTGGAATATCGACATAAATCCACAGTAGGCCGTGGATTCCCGCCAAATGTTGGGCTGCGCATAGAGACTTACATGTGGGGACGGACAACGGTGTTGTTAATCCTTCCTCGTCACAAAGCAGCAGCTGCTAGGTGCAAGTCATATCCATTTGGCTTTTTTCACGTGTTCACTTGAGTTCACCTAATTAGGGAAATTGTTTGAAACCTCCAGTGGGAACTCATTGCTCCCCTGAGCCAATTTAATTCGAGCGTACTTAGAGTTGCTGCGTGTAGTACTGATGGCTTTCCGTTGGTGGGGTCTCTTGGGTCGTGCGCAAAACCACTGCAACGGGGTGGGTCGTGCGGTGGGTCCATGTGGGTCCTTTCCACGCGGTCTGGCCTGGCGGGTACGTTGGCGGTCTGGTGACATGTGTTTTCGACGCATGAAGAGGTGCTGCGCCGAGCTTTGCAGGTTGGTTTTTGTTCCGTTCCTTTGTTTCGCGAAAAGACCATGGTAACCATGCTGCACTCGAGGTCACGAGTAGGCTAAGGTCTTGCGAAAGATGTCGCAACAGACTGACATTGCCTTTTACCATCTAGTTTTACGAGCAAAAGCACCCAACCCTGTCAAAATCCTCCGCCACCCTCTTGCCTTTTGTTTCCGAGAGCATACCTGTCCCAACGGTCGCCCAAGACCCAGCTGCCGGGGAAGTCTTCTCTCACCCATGCTTACCCGCCCAGCGGCGCAGAACCAAAGGATACCAAAGGTGCACCCTGGTTGGAGGCCATTGCTATTAGGCCATTGTACATATAATACATGTGCATTCTTCACCTCAGAACTTCCAACTCAACACGATTTCTGTGGCGTTCGGAGAACGACGAAAACGGCCATCGAGGAGACCTGGTGGTGGGCCCTGCGCTCTTTCGACTCGGGGGGGCCGGAGAGCAAGGTCGCGGCCGTCCCCAGGGAGACCGGCGGGCTTTGTGATTTGGTCCGGAGAAGAAGGAGGAGAGAGAGAGAGAGAGATATTTAAAAAAATAGAAAGAACAAAACAGTACTTATAGTATAATATAGTATAATGTCATATATATATATATGTTATATGATATGTGTGCACTACAAGTCGATACAAGTCGTGCGAATACGTTTCTTACCAAGTGGACCAAGTGCTGTGCACGCGCTCGCGGCACGAGCACCACGGTTGCAGGTGCCTGAAGCCCAATCGAAAGCCTTGGAAAACACGGAGTCCGAGGAGACTCGATGGGAGGCCACCCTGAGTTCTTGTGGATGGGGTCTCACAATCTTCACAGGGCACCAGATGTTTGAGCTATTGAGAAAACAACATGAAGCAATCACTTTCATTAAGATTGGCATGTCATGTCTGAAAAAAAAAATAGTATAAAACATGTGGAATATCATGTCTCAAGACGTGCTGGCAATAGCCAGATCCTGCCTAAGGATCCTAAGGTATGCTCATAGCATGGTTTCATAGGTTTGCAGCGAGGTTGCGGGCCACTGGATCGTGAAGAGTTTGTCGAGAGTGTGAGATCGTTAGCATACAGCATAAACTGAGATTTCTCAACATGTGCAAAAAAGGCCGGAAATGATGACATACCGGAAAACCACACTTAGTTAACAACTCTCAGTTGCTACAAATGGTCAACTGAAGGTAAGCACATGTCGTGATTGGTGACATAGAGGTGTAGCACTTGTTGCAGTTGACCTGCGATGGCTGTCATCACAGGTGCCCTGCGACCTGCGCCGCTCCGTTGGGGCCTGACATCGCGCCGATCCGTGTGTTGCACGTGTCAAGTGTGGAGCACTTGACCGGTGTTGGTGTGAAAGAAGTCGACACATTGGGCGGACAGTGAACTAGGTATTTAGAGTGATTGATTGATTAATTGATTGACTGATTGATGACTTTTTGGATTGATTGATTGTCAAGCAAATGGATTTGAGATCCAAAGGCTGCTATGCATCGCACGGTGACTCTTTGAGTCCCTCAGGTGTGCCCAATCAGCGGCGAGCGCTTCGACAGGCGCACATGGCATGCTGGGGTTGGTTTGCTAGTAGGTATGATTAGGTGAGGCCAAGCTTGAAAAGAAGCAAGTGGCAACACACATTTGGTGATCCACATCGATGTCATTGAATCTGTGCTTTGCAATCTTGGCTTAGTTTGTTTTGTGGTGTGGGAACCAGCCTCAGAACCCACAGAACCTGGAACAAAACACCTTTGGACCAACGCCACAAAGGGTGATGGAATGGAGTTTTCCCAGTTCCCAGATGATGATGTGTTTACTGTGTTTGCTTGTGTTGTACATTCCGATCTCCGATGCGCTTTTTCGTTTTCGCGGATTCTGTAGGCCAAGAGGCCAACCCTAGAACCTCTACTCCATGTTTACAACCAAAGCATTTGGTTTGAATTGGTTTTCTCCGTTTCTGTGTCACACAAAAAGAAGCTCCACTCTGTAAACCGACTGGGCCGACAGGACCTGGAGCAGCACCCTGAACGACTGGGCCTTCACAGATGCGGCGGCCGCCGAGATGCACGCCACCAAGCCCTTGAGGTGCCCATTCTTTTAGAAACAAGTGCCACGCTACTAGGAACAAGTGCATCGCTACTAGTAACAAGTGCCTTACTAGTAGTAACGAGGACGCTATTAGAAATTTGGCCGCAGTGCTCACACCATAGGCACTTGTTACTAGTAGCGATGCACCTGTTACTACTAGCGATGCACTTGTTTCTAATAGCTTCTTGTTTCTACTAGTAAGGCACCTGTTACTAGGGTCGTTACTGGGCCCGGTGGTTTTCGGATGGGCCCGGGATGGGTCCAAAATAATCCAAAATGAGGTTAAAGCCTACCGATTAAGATCCATAAAGATGCATGGAAAACACTGCCGTGTTGATGATGTCATTCCTGCTTTCATTGCTACTCCGTGGCTTGTACGACCTATAAGTGTTCTGCAGTTGCAAAATGCAAGTTGATATTGAGTTGTGTTCTGGTAATGAGCATTCTCCTGAGAGGTTTCCTCCTGGGGGTCCACTTGGCCGGTGCCTCAAACGACAGAGAGCTAATTGGAATGACCGACTATGCTATGGGAACGAGGCCATGCAAGCATGCATGACGCAATTGTAATATTGCTACTAATCTACAGTATACTAATCTAATTAAAGCATAAATAAGTTATAATCTTGAAGTCCAAAAAGATAAGTTCAGAAAGAAGATGGTTTGCTTGAGAATGGGTCAACGAAACCGATCACCAAACGCCTCAAGCGGGCTATGCGTTGCGGGCGACCGTGAGGACCACATGGCTTGTCAGAGACGGCGGTGGTCTTTAAAAAGCGGCGTCCCCGGACCACGTGGTCTCAGGGGTCTCCCGGAGGGCGGACCGCAGATAGGCTAGCGAGCTACAGGCATGTCATGTTGTTCCGTCGACAGGGAGTTGGGCGTTTGGAGACTGGAACAGTGGCACTCGTCATTTTTCCCTGGCGTTCTCAGCTGGTGGCAGCGTCCTTCAACCAAGGAACAGGTGTTCATCGCTTCAGGGTTTCTGACTCCTGTCAAAGGTGACTTGGAATTAGCTCATTGTATTCCAAAGAGACCAGCTGGAAGATGTGCTCTCAGGTCCTGCTTCTTAAATACCAGCTTGACAAGGTGCAAACGGATGTGGATGTGCCTTTTGTCGCACCAGTGAGGACAGATAGAGATCGGGATGTTTACACACAAGATCATAGAAGTCTGACGAGCCGGAGATCTTGAATGTAAGTTGTTATCCTCAAGGTCCTCAAGAGTGACCATGCAGACAAATATGCTTCTGGCATGACACAGCACGATGTGTGTAAGAATGAAAAGTCTATGGCTGCCAAGGTGGATGATCCAATTTATATGCCATATAATATACATACACTCGTTCGTGTGTGGTTTTAATATAAGTGCTCTCCGACACTTGGGAATGACTGTACTAAATTCATGTAAATTTCTCATAGTTTGCGCCCGTTTAAAACCACCAATGATTTGTGTGAACAAAGCAGTGAGTGAACTTGCAACAACCATGTGAGTCCTAATACACCAGGCCTGAGGCCACCACAAGATGTCATGCAGCTCCAACAGTGTCATGTATGTTCTGGGCCTTGTCTGAACAAGGGGAGACCTCCACAAACCACGTGTAAAAGGGAATATAGACAAGTGTACGTGTCTCCTATCGAGCCAGGCGCGTCTCCTCATGTCCTCGCTTTAAGATAAATGTCTAATTAATTCTTGTTTCTACTAGCTTCTTGTTACTAGTAGTAAGGCCCTTGTTCCTAGTAGCGATGCCCTTTGCTCCTAGTAGCGTCCTTGCTCCATTCTGAGCCTTCACTGCCTTTGCAGGCGCATAGATGCCTTGCATGAGTGCCGCACCGGACTGAGGGGCTGATTCATGCAAGGCATTGCAAAAGGGGCCTGATGTTTTTGTGCACTCAATATATATATATATATGTTTTTTTTCGTCACATAAATATGTATATCTCGGGTCAGCCTTTTTGGGACGAAATCACGTGAACGATGAGCACATTGCTGTTCGTAGATCTTTTTTGTTGCCATTGGGGAGTTGCTTGGGCTCTATTTTGATGTCACCCATCTCTATCAATATTGGTGCTCTTTCAAAGAAGTGATTTTTGATCTGAGGTGATCCTGATAGTGTGAAGAAGCCTGCAAAGCCTGTGACGGGCTCGCAGCAGGCCAAAGAGGATTTCCCCCTGGAGACTTTGGGCTTTCTCCCATCGGCCAGCGAGGACTTTGCAAACACCATCATCATCAATGAGTCAGATGCATCCACATGTTCGCTTTCAGAGCTCATAATTCAGGGCATTCAGCAGACTATTTCTGCGGAGGCAGTGGAAGTTGCGCCAAGCTCTGGAAAGGAGGCCGGATCATGGCAATTCCGCCTCCCTTACTCGTCTTCTCTGTCCAAAGTGCAATGATGAGCTAACAGCTCACAGCTAACGCCAGATTCACAAAACTACCCAGTTTGATTGCCCGTTCTACTTGTTGTTTCTTTTGGTGTGTTTTTTCATTGGAACCCTTTAAACCGGGATGGACCACCCACCCCGCTCCGATTCCTTCAGGACTTTGCCACGGTGAAAGCTCCACCCGTCTGGGGGCCCAAGGGTCGGCCCTGTGAAGCCACGGGTGGTCACTGTTTTGGATGCGAACAAACACACTGGGGAGGAAGTAAGCTACGTGCGGGAAAAACAGAACTGCAAAGTTGTGTTTGTTCATACTTGATCCAAGAACCCCACACTTTTTGTTGGTTGCTCTCTTCTCGTGCTGTTTCTTTGCCTGCACACGTGTAAATTTATGTTTCATAAGGTCCTTCATGATGCTGGGAAAACTGTTAGCGTTTCACTTCTATTGATGAGCATGAAAATCGGCCCTGAGCCAATTCAGAATTGCATCATGCTTGCAAGCATTGCAAATTCAGGGTCGGGAAAGGTCAGGATGCTCTCACGGGAAAGACCCAGAATTGAAACATACAAGCTTGGGAGCATCAATCCGCCCTTGGTGAGGCCAGAAAGTTCTTCTGATGCAAGTGGGCCATTGATGAACCTTCCTGGTCCGTGGATAGAGTTGTATGAGGGATTCCGGAAAGAATGCACATTCATTATCACAATGACAGTTTGCTTGTATCAACGACCATGAATCACAATCGTGACATAAGTTGAAGAGCCTTCATGATTTGGCAGGAGTTCAGCAAAGGCATCGAATCAGTTGTAGAACTTCACCCTGAAACCCTTGGCGGACCTAGTGCTGAAAAGCCAGGAAAAGTTTGTTCTCGCCTCACGTTCCAATCCTGTGTGTGGGAGTTGGACGGTGTTGATTGCTGAAAGTTCAACTTGACCCGCATTTTCTGATGAGCATACAGTATACTACTTGTTGTTGGAAAACTGCTGCCAGGGCCGGGCCTGGCTGGCTTTTCTCTTGTTTTGTCCATACGTTTACTTTCAATTGCATGCAGTGGTGTTTCTCATTCAGAAATGTGATCGATGGCTGTAAAACCGTTGGTTCCGGAAATATAAGCATGTGTCCTTGTTTATTTATATTTTATACTTTGATTATTTTGTGGTTTGACATAGACCGAGGTGGAACGCTCATGTCATTACCCAAAGACTTGAAAGAATAAAATAGTACATATATATATAACAATATGCTTCGATAACTAACCATATATATATATATATACATGTGCTACCCCTTTTAAAGTACAAATAATAAAAACACCTCCCATAGGTCAGATTCTCTTCCATAGCATAGGAATGTGCACAGGCAAACAGTTTCAGCGTACAACCAAGACCAAGACACAGATGAGCCTTTCTGGCTGCACGCATCATTCACTACTGCTTGGGCAACACGAACTTTTGCAATGCCCATGAGTCTATTGGCCAACTAAGATCTTTTCCAGGATCTTACTATCTTACTAAATTACTTTCTGTAATCTTGCTGGACACTAAGAAGTTGTCCAGAATTTTATCTTACCACCCTACTACCTTGCTGGCAAACCTTGCAAGGTCTGTGGTCTCCAAAATTACTTAAGTACCAACCAGATTACAAGAAATTTGCGAATTTGGAAGCAGCTTAAAAGAAGATGAAGACACTGCAGATACTATCAAATTCACTGAAGGGTGGGTCTAGGCGAATCCCATATATATATATATGCATAGTCGGGGCACTATGAAACTCCAATGGAACGAACCGTTTGCAATGCTGTAGCAGTGACACTCCAGGGTATCGACTTCTTTTGACCTCACTTTCGGTGTCAGTTGGGAACGGACTGGGACTGGCATCTTGGCTTCAGCGCGTTCTGCGGGCGGGCACGATGATCCTCACGGATGCTCGGCACAACCATCCTCCGTTCCCGGCGCAAACGGCAAACGCACGACTACAGCAAAGTTGGCCCCAATCGTCGCAATTGTTCCAAACAATTCAAACAAGGTTATTGTTTCTCTTAGTTATGAATGATGTCAGGAGTGGCACCTGCACCAAATACTCACCAAAGTGGATGTTCCTACAGTCTAGAGGAACATGGTTTTCGAGGTGCCCAATTTTATCCGAATGTTTTTGTGGTTGAAGTCATTGAAGAACTAAGGAGGAGGTGGCAAAGCTCTTCAGTGGCTTGCAAAAGGTTCCTGGATGCAGTTCATTTATCTGGGACATTCCGTAATTATTTTTACTAATTGTTGTATCATGTACAGTATCAATTGTTGTGATTCAAAGACCTCCTTCCTTTGGCATGAAATGTGGTTGGTATGGACTCCTATCTCAAAGTGTACTGGTGCCGATGTGCTGTTTGGTTGCCCAACACCTTGCATGCGGGGATTCCGAAGGGGGTGTTTCTGGCCGGCGTGCAAGGATGGATCCAAAGCCAAATTATGATTCTTCTTTGACATCAAGTGACATCATCACTTTCACCAATGGTGCTTTTGTCCATTTAACGCGGCATCGAAACGATCCAGGATTTGTTACCGAAGCTGCATTTGCAAGGTCCACCGCGACATATAGCTTGCCATGTCCGCAGTCTAGCAAATTGCGCTTTTTGAAAATTGTTGACTGTATCTCCATCTCCGCTTTTGTGTGCAATCAGGTATCTCCGGTTGTAATGACAGGCAGATACAATGTGATAATTTAATGGATTTGACAGGGTGCGTCCTGTTGGCATGGTCGTTTCTACAGCATTTAAAGGAACGACTACACCGAGATCTAAACCAGAACATGAAGAGCTTAACCATGAAACCAGGGTACCGTAAAGGTGAGCCTGGAAATCCATCCCTCCAACCCTCAAAAATGGTGGATACGGTTTTGAAAAGGCAGCGTTCTCATCCGTGTTTGATGATATTGGCATCAGAATTGCAAGTTCCTGGACATACGCAGGATTTTGGTGTCTCTCCATCCCTGAATCTGCAAAAGAACCATGAATTCCTGATCTCTCACCTTCCAGGCACTGCGAGACGCCGAAGCAGACATCAAGGAAGCCAAGAAAGCGTGAATCGCCTGTAGGTGTTTTAAGACATTGGATGTAGTGCTAGGATGTGCACGTGTCATTTTGCATAATATGATTGTGTTTTATGCTGGTTTAACTTTGTGATTCTTATATAGTTAAGATTGCCAGGTTGAACAGGTTTGAAAAAATCAACGCTTTATTTGCGTGTCTCTTGTCCAGAATGCAAGCGCGAAATTGTTTGATGTCAAAACTAGAAACCGATATGAGGTTCTGGAAGGGTCATTCAGGGTATGGGCTGTGGACCACAGTTATGTATGTACATGTGTGTAGGAAGGGCTGAACCATCTTCAGGGAAAATGCACACAGTGGGTTTCACTCAGCACACCACATGGGACCACAAGGTTAACGTGTGTTGAAAGCCAGGGGATCCGGGGTCAGATCAGGAGTTGTTCATTCCAACAGTAAAGGTCAAGTTTCTTGCAATGTCAATCTGCAGGATTTGGCACACTCCCAGCAGGCCAAGTTGGACAAAGCTGTCTCCGAGGCTCGAACAGCGAGCGGTTCCGACCACTGAAATGGCAAAAAGAAAAGGTGGCAAAACACTCCGCAGAGGGCGGTGAGCTGAATTCTGTTGTGCATTGATGTGAGTCTTACCTGTTTGTGTCCTCTTCAGTGTGTCATTACTTCGTTTGTTTGAGAGGGAGGGAGGGAGGGAGGGGGAGAGAGAGAGAGAGAGAAACAGAGAGAAAGAGAGAGGTGTCTTGTTGTGATAGTCAAGAATCGGTCTGCTGTGTGTCGTTTGCTTCTCTCTTGCTGCCTTCTCGCACGAAGTCTGTTTTGCAGGTTGACCAATGCAAAGAGGATGCCGAAAAGCAGCGTGACAGGATTGAGGTGCGAAGGATCAGGGAGAATCGCTCCCGCTTACCAAAACGGCAGGTTGGCCTAGCAGGAGTTGAACCGAATGAGAACGGCTTGAAATCAACTCACATTCTTTCCGTGCCAACCTGGAGCTTTATAAGTAGACGGCATGTAATGGGTTGGAGTACCTGACGCATGGAGTGTTGGACAGAGAGGGCTGAAAGAAGAGGACCCTATGGCCCCTTGAGATATATCAATCAATAGTTTTTCATCAAACGGATCAAGAAGCTGACAATTCGGCACAGGCAGCCCACGAAGAAGCGCGGAGAGCACACCAGGCCTGTAGAGAGCGCGGACTTTGGAGAATGTGGCCAAGCACTGGTGTTGCCCTGAAGGACCCAGTAAGACAGGGGTTGCTACACTCACCAGAGCTATGAATCAGGACCGTTCTCTAAATCTGGGTTAATCAGATGCCGATCGAACTTGCATGAGTGGTGGTCAAACGAAGTCTTGTTTGGACACGGACGGACCTGTGCAGAACCACAAATTCCATCGGCAGCTAGATTCACAGCTCCACACGGGTGTTGACGGTCTTGAAACGGAATTGGTAAGGGACATAACCCAAGAGTCTCCTGACAGAAGCGGCATAACATGATTTGCCCTCTTCTGGCACATTCAGTCTCAAGACCTCCAGTTTCTCAACAAGTAAAGTAGAAAGTAGAGTACATCCTCTTGGCCAAAATGAAGGTGCTACTTTTTTGTCACCAGGGCATACCAAAAAAACAAACAAAATAAATCACAAAACCCGCATGTTTGGCTTGGCCTGAAACTCAGCAACACTGACAGGGGGGTGTTTTTAGATTGTACAAGTAGTCAAGTGGTTCTATTTCCCTTTGTGGCCTGGCCCTTCGCATAAGCACTCCGTCTCCCAGTTGTCACTTCCTTCTGATTGGGATGGCCCGCTGTCCACAGGCGCAGCTGGATGTGGAGGACCCATCGCGATGTCAGTCTTCGCATCAATAGCTTAGCCACGTTCGATACCTGCCGAAGGAGAAATTGGAGCAACAGGTCGAGAAGTTCAACAAGAAACGAGATCAGGCACCAGCGTTCATTTGGGGACACGCGTGTGATACCTGTCCCACGGCTCAGCGACCATATAAGGCACCTTTCTAGCAAGGGCTAGGATATGCCACAGTCCAGATTTTCTGGAAGCTTACGAAAGATGGTGATGTGGATTCCTGTGGTTTGAATATGTTTGAATAAGCCTATCAACATTTGGCTCTCCAGCTATTGCTTCAGGATTCGGAGGTAGACAAGAAGTTGTACAGTACAGGAAATTGAGAGTTATTGCCAGGCAGGTGATGGGAGGAATTTTGCATCGCCAATGTTTCTCCCCACGTTCACGAAGTCCTCCACGCCCAGAACCGGAAGCTGATGGAACACATCAGGGAGTTGGAATCGGAGATCGACCAGCTCCAGACACAGCTGGAGGAGTGCTTTGCTATTGGTGCGCAGCATTGCGCATCCAGTTGACATGATGGGAATGGCGGATACACTTGGTCCGTAAAGAGGGTTGTAGTGTATATAAGGTGGAGCTGAAGAATGGCAGATTGAATCCCAAGTATGTTTTGCCTGCTTGGTGAAGGGGTAGTGTGCACTGAAAGAATCTCCGCATTCAGCCAAGTGGGCAAGGCACCGTCGCAGTGTTGTGAAGTCTTGTTTTTGCTGCAGGAGGCCCGTTTGGGACCTAAGGCCGACGAGGAGGATGGCAAGGAAGATGCCAAGGTGAGGGAACCACTTAGTGTCCATAGTGGATAAGGCCATGGAAGGACCTTATCCTAGAGTATTGCATCAGATTGGATTTGCCATTTGCAAATAAGCATTCAGAATCAATAGAGTTTTTCTCTTACAAGACTGTGTTTGGAATGTACCTAAATGTACTTGTTTGTTTCGAGACCTTCTGGTTCCAGTCGTTGGGAGCCAGCCACCACAGTGGGTGAAGATTCGTCAACATCGGGCAGGAGCCACCCTTGCGGAGAAAGAAGAACAAGGCAACTTTGGTTTGATCCTGAGATGCCCCAACTTCTTGCTTCGGCCAAAAGTAACAGTGCAAAACAGCAGCCCCCTTTTTCAAACAGAGAGAAGTGTTTTGTACCCACATTGGTAGGGAGCCTAACCTACCAGTCACAGGGGTTTTGGGCCTGTCACCCACCGGCGCTGATGGCTCTTCCTGTCGCCCAGAAGCCCAAAAAGACCGTGTCGCCCGAGTGTGTGGACTTGGAGGCTCCGATCAGAGAGTGATCCTAGTTGGAGACGGTGGGTGAATCAGAGAGTGATCCCATGCAAGTTTGCAGGAGGTCATCCATAGAGATCGAAGATTATGCTCAATTCTGACAGCTTAGTCCATTGGCCAGTTGAGCCTTGCCTTCTACGAAGCAAGCTAAATGTGGCTTGTCATTGTTGTTCACACTGGCCAGGCTGAAGACAAAGACGTCACCCTGCTGAATTCTTTCATCTGCCGGGGGGCATCATCACGTGGCCTCAGATCTTTTGTTTGGTTTCCCGTTGGGGGAGTCTCGTTTCTCGAAGACACCAAAAGAGGATCATGCTCCCTGGTACTTGCTCAGCAGCCGTGGTTTGTCTAAAGTACGAGTCTAAGTTGAACAATGGACAAGATCTACGGATCCAGCAATTGGTGAAGAGCCGCGATGGAAATAACATGCACAACTGATAGGGCCCGACAAAATTACGGACCCAGATACCGATACCCGTTCCTAGAGTGTGGAACATTTTGGAACCACGGGAAGCGATGGGCTGGATTCAGCATAATGTATACATCAAAACTAAAACCATGGGTACCCCTCAATATCCCCGTGACACGGGAAAGAAGCAGTTGTTCAACCAGAACCATTGAAGCTAGGAATTTGTAATTCCACTACAGAAGCTATATTTTATTTATACTCGAGTTCGGCGCTTGCTCTTGTACTTGCCCTTGGTATACGAAGAACCGCAGTGCTCACTGCAGTCCACCGCTTCGGAAAAACGTCACCAGCCATGGGTCGGGTGCAAAAACGTCCGTAGTTTGCTGCAACCACCTGCTCGTCTCGAGGATGAGAAGGACGAGGAGGACGCTTCGGAGGCGGCGTGTTGGGCAGGGGCACAGCCGGGCACAGCCGTCCACTGGTCCGTCCACTTCACACCGATCGAAACCACACCGAGCCGGTGTCGGCACGCAGGCGCATTTAATCGAAAGGATCTGAAGGATAGGTATTTGACACACACGTCTGACGCAGGGGATCTTTTTTGCGAGCAGAAAAAGATGTCATCAATATGCGTCAATGGTAAAACGGCAACTTGAACAGACCAGCTATCTTGGGCATCCAACAGTCTTTTTCCGCCAATTTATTTGTTTTGTTCCAATTCACTCCATGCCCCCAACTACGATGTTCCACCGTCGCCCGCTTCGTGGGTGAGGCAGATGGAGAGGAAGCTCGCCGGGAGTGACCTGGTTGGAAGTGGAGGAAAGTGGATTGGAGACCTACTAGAAGGTGGTTTGGTGTCAGATCATTGGAATGAAAGAAAGATAAGAAAGGTGGATTGGGGATTGGTAGCTCATGTATTAGTCTTTGACTTACTTGGGATCTAGGGGTACCTACATGTCAAAGAGTCACGTACACGCCTTTTGATCGCAACGAGCTGAGGTCGGCCAGTCCAAGCCCTGAGGCCAACAAAGAACGTGCTGAACGGAGTCCGGTGAAGGACCCGCGACAGCCAAGGGTTGAGTTGAGAGGTTTGGTTGGTTTGGTCCTTACGAAGACAATTCTGCTTGGGAATTTCAATTAAAGAAAGGGGTGTCACCAACAGCCATTTTGTGGACGCGGTGCAGAAGTAGGAAACTCCCATTGGAGGTAAGACAGAAAATGGACCTTTCAATCCATGAGGTGGGGGATACCTTCGCTTAAACTAAAGCATAGTGTTCAAAGGGGCTCTGAATAGACTGTCACTTGGGGAGACATTGCCAGGTGTTTCATTGTTGCATGTTGTTGATCTGATTTGCAGCAAGAGTTTTCTGCAGTACATGCCTCTTCGATGTGTGTGTGTGTTTTTGCTAGACTGTACGTTGTTAGAAGTCCGCTCTCACTTCTTTTTTCTGTGGTGGTCCTTAGTTGCCCAGCATCCTTTTGTATGTTCGAATCCCCGGAAAGCAAATGAACAAAGTATATAGAGCAAACAAAACAAGTGAACAGAAGATGATACCATCTCTCAAGATAATGCAATCTCTTTGTTCTGGGCGTGGGACACCATGGGATGTCAGACCGCCCAACCCTCGAAAACTCGAGGAGAGATCGCGTCGGCGGTCGGGGACCAAGGTCATTCAAGCGACTCACCAGTGCAACAAGAGCTTCGCTCAAGACAGACACCCCACTATATACTATAGTTGTCGGGTCAGGCAAGACCTTTTCTTGACTATACATCGTTCACAGCATGAGCATGTTGTTGATCAAAATTGTGCCCAATTAAACTTATCAAAGCCCCTGCTCAGATCTGCCAGCCGTGCAAAGCGCGACCAGAGCCAGGCGCATGGAAGCAATGAATTGTAAGAAGAAGTAACAACACCCAAATTACTGTATTCCAAATGGTAGTTGATCTTGCTCCCCATATTTAGTGCAAAAGGCTTCTAAGCCATGTTGCAGGTCAAGCTGGAGAACCCTGTAGGTCATGGTGTTTCTCTCATAGCACATGCAGGGCAAAACATTACACCCATCACCCGTCGCATTCTTGGTGCAGATGCATCTCCAAACATGGTTTGAAGAGCCCCGTTTGGTTCGAAACCAACTTGGACATAAATCAAGCTACGGGTTATCGTCACCTCTGCAGGCCGACCGTTCACGGGAGCCCCGACGTGCGTACTGCACTCAGCGGGAAGTGCGGAAATCAAAGCAAATGGTGCTGCTTTGGCGAGACTAATCAGCTGCATATTATTTACCCAATCCATCCCAATCCAGACGGTGCCGCTGATTGGGATGGATTGGGCGATGCCATGTAGACTCAGGACTCTGCGCTTGGTACTTCGCGGACACCATTCTATCCACATATGCAACTGGTTTACTCCTCCAAGCATGGCATGTAGCCGTGTTACCCGAAGCCCTGTTACTTGAACCTGTAGCAACCCTTGTACGTTGCGAGTGAGTACTGTAGCTGATTGTCACCACCACGATCACTGAACAGGAAAACTAGGTGATGGTGTTTGTGTGCGTGCGCGCCGTGTGCGCGTGTGTGTGTTTCGCATGCGGGTTGCACTACCCAAGCGAAAATGCACGACTGCGTAGACATAGGAGTGACGAACTCCGAACTCTGGCTATGTGGATGCGCTGAGCAAAACGTTGCACAACCAGACTGAAACCTAAAATGCTAACCTCCAGGTATTCTTTTGTGACTATCTCATCGATCTTGCCAGTTGGCTTCGGCTTGAGCTTTTGTTTTAAGACAGCGGGTGTCCATAGAAAGGTTGTAAATGTAGGAACATAATGGACAGATTCTGTTTGACAAATTGATGAGGACAAGAAAGAGCAGGATGGTTGTTCCCAGTTCACTAGTGAACAACTTGATGTTGGCTTGTGCGTCACCTAAGCCGATCAGCAGAACGGGTCAACGCCAATTCCAAGGTCTGCAAGCCGCGAGAAGCGCGACAAGAGCCCGGTGGGGCGGGAGTGGTGCTATTGCTGTTGCTGAAAAGAGCTTGGGATTTGAAGAGCAAGATACTGACTTGAAATAGTAACCTTTTGGGGAACACAAACGCCATCGATCCTTCCTTGACCTTCACTGAATGCTCTCAGCGAATTCGAGTCAATCACAGAGAATTCAGCTCGAGACGCCAGGCTGAGCGTCGTAGGAGCGGCGTCCCAGCGAAATGGAGCGGCCGGAGAGCTCCAAGTAACGAGGGGAGGCCGACCGTTGCTGAAGATCCGAAACGCTTTTTTAAGCCCGCTCCTACTTCATGAAGTAGGCGATAGTAGGCACCTACTTAATTGAGCAAGGGGGACTAGTTAGCTACTACATAATGGACGCAGGATAGCTCACGCTTCTTCAATGAAGCGCTCGCACTAATGATTTTGTTCCTAGTTTGAAGAAAACTGTGTTGTTTGGTTCGACTGGTTTCTCAGGCTTCATGACTCAGGAATGGTTTGATATGGTTTGAGTCTTGAGTACTCATGCCGCACTCATGCCAGCATGTGTAAGAAAGGGGCTTCACCTTCAACTTTCATAGGCATGCTCGAACCTTTCTACGTGTGTTTTGCGTGAACAGTGTGTCGTCGATTGCCAATAAATACACGTATGTATATTAGGTTATTTAATGTTATTTGTATATACATCCAATCCCGTCCTTCTGCAAACGACCTTAAGATGACATGGCCCAAAACATGTTCTTTGACAGGGCATTAAAGTCACTGTTGAACAGGTGGACATTCGTTTTTTTGAGGTCGACAAGCCGCAAACGGGACCGCAGCGGCAATCGAGACCGCAGCGGCAATCGAGACCGCAGTGGTCAGGCAGATGGGGTGCAAGGTTATTCAAAGTGGCTGCTTGTCAAAGTTTCCTGGGCAATTTTGGGGGGATGGCATCTACAAGTTGAGTCAGCTACTGGGTGACTTCTTGAGTTTGAGGGTAAAGCTGAGAATCCAAAACCTTGGATACGAGAACGTTCCAAAAAGACTAGTCTGATGAAGTTGAGAGAGATCTTGAGATGATGTTTTTGTCCCAGATATATAATTCATGTCGCTCCGTGACGACCCATGCCGGCACCAGGATAGTATCAGCATGGTGCGTCGGATTCATTCATTGATTCACAGTTGAACCCAACATGCCACAAGTTTGACCACGATAGAACACCTTTCTGGACCATGTTCCCCCGTTGGGTCCATCAGGTCAACTTGGCCGGACGCAACGATGCAACTCGAGTCTGTTTGTTAACATGGGCCCAGCACAGGGAACATGACCCGGAAAAGTGTTCCCTCGACGCCAAGCTTGCAGCATGTCTCAGCATGTTCGGTTCAATCGGGCTCAAGCTGCAATCTTGGCAGTCACAGACCCGATAAACAAACATAAAAAAGGGAACATAACATGGGCTCACCCAAGTTAGCCTCAACTTCGGCCAAGTGCCCTGGGTCGAGGGCCACTTTGCACCAACTTGGGCTCAAGTTACAGACCGGAAAAAAGGTGCAAAAACCCAGTGCACAAAATAGGCTATGGGGGACTGGCGGGCAAAAAAATGGGGTGGGCTACCCAGTAGTAGAACACGGAGGGTTCACTACATTGTTGGACTGCTACTACGACGACACGAATTTACTGTATTTGCCTCAGCACCCTCAGTGCGGGCGGAATTTGTCCCAGAGACATCGACAGTTAAAATGGCAGGTTTTCTTGCACGTTTGACGTATCATAGAAACTCTAAGAACAGGAAGAAAAGTATCACATTCGTACAGCATGTTAAACTCTATTATTACTAAACCATTGGGTTGCAGAAATTGATCGCTGTAGCAGTAAGACCGCAAAAATCGGGCATTGTTCGCAAGCCAGGATCGCGACAGATCCCGGGAAGCTCGCCGACGGCAGACGGGGTCCAAGCCAAGGGAGTCTTTGGAGGGAAGAAAGTGTCCCAGCTCAACTTCGTGGATTTAACTTTGTTCACCGCGAGAGGTGCCAAATTACTTAATGAAGTCGAGCCAAACGCCAGTGGTTTGGTGGATTCCTGAAAACACAAGTTGGAAAAGCGAAAGAGCTTTTGAGGGTATTCCTGAGGCGTGTAGACACAAGCTCGAAGGTCACTGTGCCTTTGCAAGGGATCAAGCTCTGGCAAGTCCAGAAGCTAAGTAGAAAGATGAGAGTGCAATGAACAGAATTCTTTGCACAGGTATGTTCATCAACCTGAACGTTGTGGGCGCAGCTACCTTTGGATCCACGTAGTGTGGACAATCAAACTGGAGGAGAACACCATCAACCCCCACACACCGATCAGCAACGGGGAGTTCGAAGAAAAAAATTAAAAAAATCGTTCAAGACCTTGAGTACTTTGCGAGCCCTTCTCTCTGAGTGGGACTGAGGTCGCGCAGCCGCGAGAAGCGCCGCAGCCCGCAGGCAATCTACGCAAATTCTAGCAGATGTTTCCAGACTTGTCTCAAGATGGACGCTACTAGGTGCAAAGCGCATCGCTACTAGGAACAAGAAGCTACTAGGGGCTCCTGGCCTTACTACTAGGAACAAGGACGCTGGAACCATTGAGAAACCGTAGGTTGGAGGCAATCGCTTGGGATGTTTTTCCGGTTTTCCGATCTTGCGAGACCGCCCTGGAAACAGGCCGACCGATCCCGCGAGCGCGAGCGCCGACGGTGATGGTCTCAGCCACCGGAGAGTCAGATGGATACCTGGAAGGGACCAGTAGCAATGGCCTCCACCCTAGCGATGGCCTCCAACCTAATAGCGATGGCCTCCAATTCCCTGTGGAGCTTTCACTACCCAAATCATGCAGCTCTTCAGCTCTTCGGCCGAAGAGATAAAATTACGAGAGGATGTGCATTTGACCTGTTTTTGAGGAAAATGAAGTCAAACATACAGCAATATACAGCAATGAAATCTTTGGAAAAATATACACAACCTCCCAAGAGTTGTGGGCGCTTCCCAGGAACGACATGTCAACATGGCACCTCCCCAAGGATCCACTAGGATCCCTTGTTTTCTCTTTGGACTTGCTTGCATGGAGCTGTAGGTCTCTCCTAAGCCACTTCCCAGAACCACAAGGATCAATAAAAAACTTCAAAGTTGGTCTCCTGTTTTTGGAGTGAAGTGCTGGCTAATCAAAAGTTCTGGACCTCATGAAGTCAGACCCGTGTGTTCTTCGTGGTGAAGAACCCTGCAGCGGACCCCGTTCAGAACGAGGAAGGCTTCTGCAGTTGAATCGATTCACAGTCACTCGCCGTCACTCACTGAGTTCTTCGCACAGCCGTGATGGAAACAGAGACCGCAGCCAGGCGTCGGGACTAGGCATGACCTAGCTATTGGCTAACAAGCGAAGGAGTGAACCCTGTTAGGACCAGCAATTCCGCAGCAAACAAGACGGTGTTTGTTCTCAAAGATCTTTGATCGCCGGCAGGGGAACCGATCCCGAGATGCACGTCGACGGTGCTGAAGCCAAGATCAAGCATGCAAACAGGGTTCTTTTGAGAGTGTGCAGTGGACAACAAGAGGTTCTTGTGACATTTCGTGACACCAAAATGAATGTGCCTTTCCAATGGGGAGACTCCCCAACCAATGGCTTTCAGTCTCTTTGTCCTCGACATGAGTCTTGGGAGGTGTCTCTACACACCAAAATAATGCCAACTAGATAGAAAAAGAGAACCCTGCAAACCATGAACTGAATGTCTTAGAATGAATCAGAAACAATGTTTTCTATTCGGAAATCTGTCTGTCTGAGATAGGTAAGGCAAAGAAACGGATGCTTGATAGAGCATATAGGGACCATGCAGCTAAATCCGTGGGCTACGGTACTTTATGGATCTTTATGGGATTTGGATTGGAATTAAACAAGGACCTTCCTGAGGCTCCATTCTTCTAGAGTTCCCATGCCAAAGGAGTCAAGGAGTATCAACTTTCCACAAGCGCTCGCCACGTCATCCGCGGCTGAGTTCTTCCCGCAGCCGCAGTCAGGACTGAATGTGATTATCAGTGTCATGAACCAAGTTGTTTTGCAGTTGTGTAGTATAGTCAAGAATTTGTCTCCCAGGCGAACCACAAAGTTGCTTGCTTTGTTTACATCAGGTTCTCACATCTGCTCATCATTCCTATGCCAGGGGCAGGGTAGCTCTCCGATCCAACCACCGGGGTGTAAAATCGCAGGATCGCGATCGCGACAGATATGACAGGGACAGGCAGAGTTCTCAGCCTTTCAGTTGATGAGTTGATGAGTCGACCTTACACTTGTTCAGGGTGAACTGTTCGCTGGGACAAAAAGGACAGGAAGGACACTAACGAGAAGGATCGTAGTTTGAGTATTCCGCAGTATTCCAGAAGTATAAATATAAATGGACTCGCGTCCATGCCCATACAAATCATGCAATCCATACATCAACTTCGCAAATGTTGCTGTTGTGCCAATGTTCAAGCCCTGGAACATCCTGGAACCCTAGATAGGAGCAGGAACAAAACGTGTGGCAAACTGTTGTTTGCTGAAGTCAGAGCACTCTCAGGGATGTTTGTCACGGGATTTGTATGTTTGTGCAGTCCGTGTAGGGTATTGCTTATTTTGCTGGGGCTTGGTGAGTGTTGTTTCATGTGTTTGTTGAGGCTTACTCCATTACTAACAAGCGCCTTCAGCAGGCATTCCTAGCACCCGTCATTCAACAGGTGTCATTGGAGTCCAATCGATTCTGGGGAGCACCAGGGGCTAAGGGAAAATGATGGAAAAAGCGTTATGGACCAGCATCTTCATTCATGTCAATCAGCTTTGCTCACTTTACACTTTGACCATGCATATTCCAGAGGCAGCAAGCATCCTGATCACAATTTTACGACCCTTTGTCGTGATCCCCAATAGTAGATCAGTTCAGGACTCCAACCAACTATCCAACCAACTATCTCCCTTTTGTATCCATCCTTTCTTCGGGGGTCACTTCCTGAGCTTTTCAAGTCAGACCTCGTCTTGGCTTCTCAGCGGTCCTTTCAACGAACGGCCGCGGTCAGCGAGGTCACGGTCTCGTGGCAACTACCGCAGGAGAGGGGTGCTCATGGGAGAGCGGCATTTGGAGCCCAACACTATATAGCTCACTCCACTAGCTCAATGTGTGTGATGCGAGTGTGGGTCATGTGCAAGAGTTACCTCCGCTAGGATTTGTTAGGCACATAATATGAATTTATCTGTTTCCCATTGCCCAACAAGCTAGTAGAAAAGCCTCGGGGTCCTTGCTCCAGCAACAACTCCACTGGACATGCGAGTTGCTGAGTGTGCGTTGGAGGAGAAGTCGCAGCCGAGGCTTGGATGTTAGTCTAGAAACCCTCCCTTCAGGTGTGTTTGTGTGCATAAGAAAATCTTGGCTGTTCGGATGCAATGCTTTGACATGTGGATCAAATTGTTTAAGCCGTGACTGGTTTTACAGATGTCAGGCAAAGGTGGTGGCGGAGGAGGCGGTGGCAAAGGCAGGTCCAATCAATTGCTGCATGACCAAGAAAAGCACCACTGCAGCTGATGTCACAGGTATCCCCAATCTTTGCTTTCTCTATGTGACTTGGATGGAACTTCAGCTGTTTGCGTGAGGTACTGGATGTCTCGTGAATTGGCAGCTCTGTTTTGTTTCTGAGGTCATCGATAAATGTCGCAAGGGCGCGGGCCCAAGTTGCGGAGGCAACATGGCAAAGACTCCAAGCTGCTTTGACCCAAGCTGTGAAGAAGTATGAAGAAGTTATACTTTGCTCCATAGTCCACATGGGGCTGGTTGTACATCAACTTGGGCACCATCCCCCTTTGCCAAGATGTTAGAGGAAATCCGAAAAGAAGAAGGAAAGAAAGGTCTGACGGTCCAAAGAATCAACAAAAAGGGAGTGTACACAGTGACAACGGATAACGAATGAGAACGAACAGCAGCTACAAATGGCTACGGTCCAAGGCAGCAATAATCTCAACGCCAAGCAGAGCGTGAAACGACACGCTGCGATCCACACGACCGTGGTCACGCTATGATCCGTTGCAGGTCGCACGTCAGCCACACGTTTAATGGGGCCTGATCAAAGGGGGCCAAACACCTTTGTTGTTTTTTAGGCATTCAGCTTGCGTGTGCGGGGTTTTCTTTTACCTCTAGCTGTTTCACGTTTAGGTTCAAGGGCAAGGTAGCCAGGGGGTTGGGGCGATGATGGTGCTCCGCTACGTCTTGGCGTCGCTCTTGCTCCTGAGCGATCCCTTGGTTCGCCTGTCCCAATCCTGGGGGGTTGGCGACTTGAGTTTCCCTTCGTTTTTTGCTGGAAATGATACCTGTCCAGCGGGGGAGACCTGCGAGAAAACTGAGGGAGAAGGGGGAGTCCGAGGCGTGCCACCGCGCCCGGACGAAAAACCCCAACCAAATGGATGGCCGCTCTCGGTTGAGTGGTTGATCCGAATGAGTCTGAGGATGATCTCGGATGCCGCGTCCACGAGCTTGCACTATTGTGGCACCCTGTGTGCCTCAATAGGCCTTGCAGCTCGATGGACCTACTGGCTGGCTGTGGCCACTGTGGCCCTGTTCATGTTGCAGCTCCTCGTTTGGACCTGCAACTGGGTGCTGATCCCACTGTTCAGGCATTGGGTTGCCTTTTGGAGGTACCTGAGAGGGCAGGGTCAGTGGTATGAGCTTGCACAGATCCACGGGGTGAGGGTCTTTAGGCCAAAATGGTTTGGGCCACAAGGCCGAGAAGACTGGACAGCTGCCTACGTTCAGCAGGAAGTCCGCGGTCGGGGAGATGGAAGGGAGCCGTTTGACCTCTTGGTAACAGATGGCACTGCCATTGCCAGGCTCCGCCACGGAACACTGCGAGGACGTACCAACAGGTTCGGCTTCAAGGCCGAATGCGACTCGGTGCATGCTTCCTCGCACCGGTACTACAGGAACCAACTCGAAGGCATGGACTGCCGTGTTCAATCTTTGCGCCCAAAGGCCATGTGGACAACCGGACGATGACTGCCTTCATGCAGTGGCTTCAGCCATCATCCCGAGGAACACTGACTTCGACCTCCAAGACGCCGCTGGGAAAGGACCTTTGGCCCGTTGTGCTACGGCCGCCTGGCTGTGTGGGTACTCTAGGGTAGGAGTCTGTGGAGGTATCGGGAAAGCCGTTCGAAAGGGGCTGGCTTGCATCTTCTGCTCGGGGTGTCTATGCGGAAACCGGACTCGGGCCCCACCCGGAAGCGGAGCGTCAACGCCACGCCATGAGAACTCTGAGACAGAATCTGAAGCGGAAGACGAGACTTCGTGCCAGGCGGAATCAGTGGCGTTTCTGGTGAACAGCAAGGCAACCTCTTTGTCCTTGGTCCCCTGCCAAGATGCAGCCCGGGGCAATAAAGTGAAGCTGTTACCTTCAGACGCAGAAGTGAGTAGCGCTGAAGACCTCAGGCACGAGGACGGGAATTTTTACTTCAGTGGCTGTAATCATCATCGGGCCTTGTACGAAGGGCAAGCGGCCAAGAGAACCTGTGTGTATGAAGGCTGCGACAGAGAAGTCAAAGCATCCAAAGCTGGGCTACGATTGTGTAAGCTGCATGGGGCCAAAGAAGAAAGAGTGAAACCCACCACTAGGTTAAGGGGGGCGGGTACCAGTGGAGGCCCAGGGGCGGCTCAGCTGCCAAAACCTGTTGACCCCGAGGCGCGTTTCGCGCCCGGGGACGATTGGAAACTTGCCACCCCAGCCTCCGCCTCGCAACCAAGCAACCAAGCAACCACCCTTGCAAAGTACCTGAAGGAAATCCTTGAAGGGAGGGACGAGGCGTCAGCTCTCAAAGCATGCACCCAGTCTGGGTACGGGCCCCGGGAGACGTGGGAAGAGCTGAAAGCAGACCACCCTCTATGTCACCAGGCTCCCCAAGGACTATCCTCCGAAAGCCCGGAAGGCCATCGCGTTCCTTGTTACTGAGGACTGTCCCACCCAAGAGGAAATTCCTGGAGAAACCAGAGACCCAGTGCTTGACATCAGGTCCTGTGCCCCGGTGGTGGCTGAGCCCGGGTATGGATCTGAAGCCCCAAAGGTGGTAGAGGTTCTGCCTTCACCCACTCGAGCAATTCCGAGAAATGAAAGTCAGCCTTTGCCCAGTGCAGCAAGCTTGTACCGTCCCAGGGGGACCTCATCCCTGCCAGCAGGCATGGGACATGGAAGTCACTCCGTGAAACCAGATGCACATGCTTCGTTCGCAGCTGTAGCCAGAGCCAGACACATGGGAGCATACACTGATGGGGAACCACCCAGGCTGGATGAGACCGCCAAGGCCCTGCAGGCCATAGCCAAAGCCGTAACCTCCAAGGACGAAGCAGCAAGCCACGACAAAGGAAAGCTGGCTTCGATCGGCAAAACGGAAGAGAGGTTGGTGTTCTTGGTGAGAGGTTGTGACGCCCTCACGGTGTCCCTCGGGAAGGCCACGGTAGGCAAAGAATTGTTTCACTCCCTGAGAGCAACCTCAACCCAAGGAAGACCCCAACTGAGGGCGATGCAGTTCCCCGTCAACATCAACAACAGGATCGCCTACGGGTTGGCCTCGATGAGAGTTGGTGGAAAGGACGCTAAGACCGTGCCTGAGTTTTGTCTCTCGGCGGCTGACTTCCCTCTCACTTCAGAGGAAGAGTTCGACAACTGGACGGGTTGTGTGGACCTCAAGTTCAAAAAACGTCCTAAACCACCGATGACCCTCAATGCCTGGTACCGGAATGCCTTAAGGGAAGCATGGGCAGTGTCATGCGTGTATGGCTCAGAACACTACTCAGCTTTCGAACAAGCCGCCACGTACCTATTGAAGCTTGGGGAGGACCACGCTTATATGTGGCCAGCTCACGCCATCTTCAGTGTGTGGGAAGAGCTCTGGTCCAGGTACATCGAAGAATTGAAGGACCTTGACAGAGAACTTCGAAGGGCGATGAAGGAAGAGTCACCCACCTTCGAGAGGATCCGTTTCTTCGTTGCCGCTCCAGGCGAAGATGGAGAGCCATGGCTCCGACTCCCAAGAACGTTCTTTCTTGAGGACAGCCGTGAGTATTTCCAGACAGACATCATCCCTCGCCACAACCGACTTTTATCGCGAGCTTGCTGGCAGGTTGCTTTGGACCACAGGCCCAAAGAGAAGAAGGGGGCCCGGTACTTGTGCTGGGACCACCTTTGTCATCGAGGGTGCGCCAGACCCTCTTCTTGCCCCCATTCACATGGGACAGCGCCAAAGTGTTGCGCAGTCAACCGAAATTCTCGGAAAGCCAAGTTGCGGAGCGGATGGAAAGTATCCGCAAAGCACAACAGGCCAAGAACCAGGAAATGGTGAATGAGGGCAAGAAGATGAAGAAGGTAGGTGGTGAAGTTCCTCAAGACGAGCAAGGAACGGACTCAAAGGTTGGCGAATGTCCCGTCAGCCAAGAAATCATTCCTACCCAAGAGGCGCCTCCTGAGGAATTCACCAGTATCCACCCAACCGACCAAGAGATGGAAATGGCAGAGTTGCTCGAAGGGCCCGACCCAACCTTCTTCGAAGACCACGACCGAGACAAACCCACCCGAGAGGTGCAGGTTACAGGAGATAGCCTTTGCAATGAGGCAAAGGAAAGGGGGGAGAAGATGGGAGAGATTGACCAGACCAATCTGACGGAGGGGTTTGGCGAGCAACTTATAACGTATGTCAAGAACCAACTCCTCTTGCAGAAAGAAGAGAACCCAAATCACAATTTGGGACTAGATGATGTTCGCAGAGCTTTAGAGCAAGCGCGAGCTCGCGGTTGTCCTTCCCTCTCTGCAGCCGCCGATGAGGCCCTGCAAGGAGCCAGTCTGAACCGAGCAGGATACTCGCCCAATGTCGGCCACTTGACACACCTACAATGGCACAACGAAGTCGGTCGAGGCACCCTCTCATGGGCTGTACCCCTCAGGATCCTGGAAGAAGGACCTTCTGTCACCAGAAAGCGGCGATGTCGGACCAGAAGCTCGGCAGTGTCTCCTGCTCCACTGCTCTGCCGGATACCTTTATGAGAATTATGGAAAGGTCCCTTCTTGGGACGAAGTCCAAAAACAGACCAATGAGATGAGAAAGGAGCTTATTGGCCAAGCGGCTGAGGCCGGTCGACGCCTTGGAGAGTGTCCAGACATGATGCCAAGATCTGAAGCGGACTTGAGAGTCTTTGTGCACGACCTATTGCATTGGTCACACGATAAGGACTACCGCACTTTGGCGTCTTTTCCTTCGAGTTTGTTACTTGATCGGACCCTCCATGTCATTCGGATGGCATCTGATGGAGACCTTTCCAGAGAGGTGATCACTGGAGCTCTGTCCTCCGGTCATGGGAGTCAACAAATTCATTTGCTGGTCCATCACGGCCACATGCGACTCCTGGTGCCCAATAAGTTGGAATGCAAACCGCCCATTATCCGAGAGGTCATAGCTGCCGGGTGGGAGTGTCATTTGGAGGCAGCGCATGGTTCCGAGGCGTCGGTTCGCGCCCGGGACTATTTGCTCTGCCCGCGATGTGCCCAACCGGAAGAGGTCCCTCGCCGATCAGGAAATCGGCCGCCCTCGGTGTTAGGCCTTCACCTCTGTTCCGACGCAAGCGAGCGTATCGGAGAGTGGAAGCCAGGAGTCCTGGAGTCCAAAGACCTCACGCATGACACTTGGACTGATGCGGAGCTTGCTGAGTGGCTGGGACCTCAGGCCGACGTCTTCAACCAAGCCTTGGACAAAGGGTTAGACTTCCTTGAAGTCTATGCGGGAAAGGCTCGCGCTTCCCATGCCGTACTGGCACACGGAGGACTTGCCCTTTACCTGGGACTTGACCACGGCCAGGACTTCCGCAAAGCTCAAGACCGCTCAGTGGGGCGGGCTTTAGTCCGCCGCCTTCGACCCCGCCACTTGTGGGGAGCCTTCCCTTGCACGCCCTTTTGTGCCTGGATCCGCCTAGCGATTCTGCGAAATTGCGACATGACCTTGCGCCTCAAAGAGGGCCGGATGCATTTGCGCTACATCTTGGACCTGTGTGGCATTCAAGTTGACGACGGCCGCGAGGCTCACCTGGAGAATCCTCTCACCTCACTTGCATGGAAGGAGCCGCTGGCCGTTGAGACCCTCGCTCGTCCTTGTTGGCTTCGAGCAAGGCTCGACCAATGCCAAAGGGGCCTATCTTCCCCTTCGGGAGGTCTGCATCTCAAACCCACTCTGATCCGCGCCACGCATGCCGCCATGCAAGCGGCTTTCAGCCTCACCTGCCCCCGGCATCACCCCCATGATTCCGTTGAAGGGGCAGCCACCTCCATGAGTGCTATGTACTCAATCAAGTGGTGATCAAGTGGGTCAACACTCGGCAAGCACGACACCCCTTCGCTGGGTTTCTGCTTCAGGTGCTGGCAGCTGTTGAAGCCTGCTACGGGTTTCATCTGCACACCGCCTACCTCCGCACCTACCACAATGTGGTGGCCGATGCGCTCACTAGGAAAGACGCCGACGAGGTGATCAGGGAGGCAGGCCTTACGACTCTTCCCAAGCCAGACGAGGCCCTGCAACGCTTTCTTGACCGGGGATGGCAAAGGAGAGCCCTTGTATGGGCAGGTCAAGCCGACGCGGACACCTCTCAGGCTTTGAAATTGGCTGATTCTCGCAACCCCTCTCCAGTCCCAAAACAATTGCTCGGGCCCACTGTTCTCAAGGTGCAGTTCATCCGCTTGGGAGCCCTCGCTGAAGGCTACACCGCGGCACTGCTCGCGTCCGGGGCGCAGCTTCTTGAGGGTGACCAGGGACTCCCGTGGCGCGTCTCGCGCCCGGGAAAGCCCGTTTTGGCATGTGTGACCCTGACCGCGAAGGACTGGAAAGAACCCTTGGAACTGATTGCCCCAGGATTTGAGAAGCGAGGAATCAACCTGGTCTGGGCAGACAGTCGAGACAGGGGCACGATC